GGCGTTTCAGAGGCAGTGATCCGCTGTAGAGATATCTAGAGGTACGGAGCATGTGGTATCATTTCAGCCCATTCCACTCCAGAAAGTGGCGAGTGAATTTCAAATCGATAAGGTTGGATTGTTCCTGCAGGAGCCGCGACTTTGAGCAATCGTGGGCACACACTTTGCCCTAGGTGGAAAGCAAACTCGCACCTCTCACATTCCGGGCACTACTGCTACGATTACGCCACACACCACCGAAGCAACACTCCACCAGAACCCACCTTCGAAAATATTGATTTCATGTTGTAAGCCGAAGTATCAAAAAATCCGGAAATGAATGCTAAACCAAAATTGAAAACCTTTATGGTATATGCTGCCCGACATACTAGCGGTTCTAACTTTATTTCGACAGAACTATCAAGTTCAGCGCTAAAATAGTTGCTGGTTTTCTGAGCTCGATGCTTCAGAAACGTGACTCAATAAGCACTGCGCTCACTACGCGTCGTATTGTCAGTACTAATAAAAGACAAAGGGAGGTCTTTCAGGGCAAGCCAAGCTTTTTCAAAACGGTTCTCTGCATATTGTAGGGACGCATGTAGGGAACACAAAACCATGTTTCATTTTCGCTGAACGGTTTTAGCAGTACCAAAAAAGAAGCATAAGGTACTGTTAAGGGTTCGATCCCCCGTGGCGACTAAATTTTGCATTTGGGTTGGCGCCTACGGTTTGGTGCCAAATCGCGCTAAATATCAAAATCAGATGTCAAATTCATCGTCAGGACCATTTTGAAGCCAACAAGTGGCCGCCAACCTTGATTGCAAAATTTAGTCGCCGCGGGGGATTGAACCATCAAGAGTATTATTCACCACTTTTTTGGTACTACTAAAACCGTTCAGCGAAAACGAAACATGGTTTTGTGGTCCATACATGCGTCCCTACAATATGCAAGAAACCGTTTCCAAAAAGCGCGGCTTGCCCTGAAAGACCCCCTTGTAAGTGCTGTGAGGGTTAGCATTTTTAGCCACACTTTTTAGATGAACTAAGGACGACTGGCTAAACTCACAAGGTAGTTTATGCTTATTGTAAGCAGCTGGCCGTAATAAATAGTTGACGATCCTTGTATCAGGCAAGCAGTCGACCGTTTCATAGAAATCGTCGATGGAGGTCGGTCTATGGGATATTTCAATGGCTTCTTTAGTATTAATATCGAATTTATAGATGTCTTCAGCTCGAATACGACACCTCGTATCGCAGTCACAAGTCGGCTCAGAACTCGATGCTAAGCCAATCGATATGCAAAGGTAGACAGGAAAAAGTCGATGACTAGGCATTGGTGGATGAGAAATAGATATGGGAACAATTACGGCCGGTGCCCATGCCCTCGGCATTTGATGCCCTTCAAAGACAAATCACCCAAACCGGAGAAATCAAATGAATTTGCCAAGCATATAGAGCGAGAACGTCATCATCAATCTATTTTATGGAAAATTGGTCTCACCAGCTGCTGATCGACCTTCGGAAAGCAGTCCATTGGTATTCATATAATTGACTATCATGTTCTGAAGCAATCTGCACCAATTAAGAACATCGGCAATGCTTCCCATTTAATTCCACATTTGAAAAAAATTCTCTTGAAAAACACTTCAAAATTGAGTCACCGGTGCATTTCGCCACAAAATCTCCACCCATTTTCTTGGTTGCGCCCTGCTGATATGAAAAGAGCAGTGGTTTTCTTTCTAGTGAGGACATGACACAACTACCCTCCTTCAAAAAACGAGAACAGCGTCGGGTGCATACCATACACCACAACTGGCGACGGCCTTCTAGTAATTAGTAGTGGTTCATAGTGATAGCTGATTTTTGTATAAAACACAACTGCAACAGGCTAACTATTCCACTGGCAAAAAACATTTACATTTTGTATAGGTCGTCGTCACTTGTGGTGTATGGTCTGCAACCGACGCTCTTCTCGTTGTTTGAAAGGGAGGGTACAAATACAGGTCCAAATCCATTTCTCTTCGATAAATGTAAAGACGTCTCGAAGAGAATCGAAGAAAAGCTTCACAAGCAGCCTTGCCCCTAAATACTATGAGCGAATCACTACAAAATTTTGAACACATTCATTCCTCTCGAACAGTTTCAAAAAAACCTAACCTACGGCAATGGACTATAAGTAATTTTATGACCTAACGTTCTCTCCTTGTGATTTTCCCATTAATGTGACGTTATTCACATTCAAAAAATAAATTCCTCTCGTATAAGTGGCATCGCCTTCAATCCAGTAGACTGCAGAAGCGGCTCTGAGCCTTCACGATGTTATTTATCTCGGTGGAGGTGACTAATTTTTCCGAAAGTTGGACAAGAAGTGCGAAGAAGAACGTCAGGAGAAAAAGTGAGAAGTACCATGGACCTGAAATTTCTTTCATTGGACGACCCTGGTGAACCGAGCGTCTGCCAAGACAGTAGGGCAACGCGGAGATAACGCTGTACCGGACAGGGCGGCAAACCCACCGTGCCCGCAAATTGTAAGGATGCAGCTGTTGCCAGCGGTCAAACTTAGGCCTATTCCGCTACCTTGCCGCCTACTTCAATCGTCGATAGTAGCCCCAATCTGTGATCTAAACCGCACCTCTAACTCTCAAGAATTTCCTCTGACCATACCGACCAACGCCTCAAGTAGTCTAAGCGCTTGAGATCCAAAAAAAAAAAAAGCGTTCGCTTGCATCTCAGAGATTAATGTATGGTTTTCAAGCTTCAAACGCGTAATCACCTTTAGAAAACTTATGTCGCCGTAAAAAAGTGTATATCAGCCGTGAGATTGACTGATTGACAATGACTGAATCACTCCTCCGCAATGCTTTTCTTTGTAAAGATACCCAAGACTTAATCGAGAAGTAGATTTTTATATATATCGCACTTCCGGGCCTTCTTGTTTGCTGAAAATCGAATGTGGAGCGCTCCACCAGGGATTCCTGTCATGAGATGCGCCACGCACTTGTCCTTGCTTCAAACTTGCGGAGGCATCTGAAAGTCCATCCAATCTTGCCATGGCTAGCTTTATCATTGATTCATGTGTTCTCGATTCACCGCTGAGCACTGCCCTTACGACCCCCGCCCCGTCCCCTCTCCAAACACGGATGCCAATTGCGACCTCATTTGCATTTCTACATGAGGACGGTTCACCCCGTTGCGGATGATGACATTTTTGAGAATTCCTTATTTCAGCAACTTTAGAGACAAATGTGAACTGAACCATTTGTTCTGAAAAGATCTTAACGCTCTTCTGATGTACTTCTGTGAAACAAAAACATAAGAACATATATTAATAACTCTTTAATAATTACACGAGCAATCAATAGTACATAGACAGTATATCTCTCAAAATAAACAACACAAACATGCTGTGGGACCAAAGGGATGGGTAGAGCGAAAAAAGGGACTTATACACGACCAGCTCTAAAACACAAAGCTCTGGTGTGCACGATACCAGAACTCTCGCGTAGCGTACACATATAAGGCGTGAAAAATTACAATGTCCGTAATCGCACAAAAGATGACAAGGGGAACGATATGCGTTGTGAGAATAGCAATAGAACTCTTTTGCTAATGAATACATACGACGACGACGTACCGTATAGATAGATAGAGAGCGCGCGCGCAAAAAACGTCTGTAGACGAGGAGCAACTGTGGAAAAAACAAAGTGTACTAGGCGATACGCCGGCGATGGCAGGTATCAGGATGAACGGACGTTGTGGGTGACATGGCAGTGTTTAAGGACATCATCGTATAAATCAACAGATAACATCTTAACACATATAACAATCGAGCAATCAAGCATGAATAGGTACATACAACGTTATTATTATATCATATATTTATATATAAATATATATTGACAATGCCAGCCGTATATTCAACAAGAATTCTCAGAATACATCATATATTTCTGAGTTGATTGCCCGTTACCAGTCAATTACAAATTGCCCGATTTCAAAAAATAAAACATGAAAAGGGTGGGTATTACAACCGGTTTCAAACGAAGTCGCTCAAGAAGGAATAAGGAGAAACAAGGGTTCGGTGAAAGGAAAACAATGAGATGTGAAAAATACCAATGCGCAAGAGCAGTGGTGTTATTCACAAATTCTGCATCCCTCTCATCCAAACCAACCAAGTTTCTCCACTTCGCACTTGTCGAATCGTTTGAAAAAGCAACAATTTCACTGGTTCGTAACGACCCTATTCTCGATTCTGGTTAGATTTATGGCCCGCATTGAATTATATATTCCTGTTCAAACAAATATACACGCCATCAAATCGCCGTAATTACCTTTTGCAAATTATAGATGATAATTCCACAGTTTTCTAACAGCTCATATATAATATCAAAAAGCGCGAACATATACACAGAAGCCCGTTCTTGTCAGCATTTCCGCTCTCTTCAGAAACCGAAGAGAAAAATGAGAGAAACAAAAAACAGAAGAGGAAAACCCCATCCGCGTTCACAATAAAATATATAACATTTGCCGCTCTCTCTGTATGTACATTAGCCCTACGCATATATATTTTAGTATATATGAATTAAGCTGCAAAGTTAACCGCAAAAACATATAACACCAATCAATCAAGGTCATGGTAATAGCTGATGTAAGAATCTCACGGTGAACATATGATGATTTGTCAATAAATTATAATAGAACTCTTAATGCGACAGAATGTGAATATAAAATGGATAAATTTAATTTGAAATAAGAAAAAAGAAACCAAACAAACTCGAACATAAAATAAAAAATATGTACAAGTGACGACTTACAGATTATCGCCAAATTACTTAACGGGCAAAGCTCCGAATGATAAATTACTCAGAAATGGGCTTACAGTCATATATGTGAAGAATAAGGCTGCTTATGTGAGCCGTCGGCGATCAGGTGACCAGTCCGTTGACCATCTTATGAACAGTGAGCATCGTGGGGTCCGAAGCGAGATCTGGGCGGCATTCGACAATGTTCCAAAGCCACTGTTACACCACGGAGGCTAGAACTGATGGCCAGTAGACGGAAGCCACATTGAGGATCAGCCGTAGATCAGAGTGATCGCAATCCACTATGGAACGAACCCGTTCCGGCGAAAGTGGGCCTTGTGACGACGGGGAGCCACGTGATACCTGAACGATTGCATCTGTAGTGTCATCGGTGATATCAAAGTACGATGATAGAGCTCAAAAAGGATAAAGCGCCTAAAGATTGGGCGCAATTGTAAAAGGTGGCCTGATAGGGTATATTGCAAATCATGAAAATAGACATGAACAGACGACAAGGAAGGGGAGCTGTGGCGTCCATTTCCGAAGCCACACATGTGGAAAAAATCCCCTCTAATGAAAAATACCTAAGTATTCGAAAAACCAGAACAGCAAGGATTAATGGAAAATGTGCAGAGCGGAATCAGAATGAGAAAATTTGTTTGAAAAATGCAAAGTAAGAATGAAGAAGAGAATGCTGCGACGATGAATTTTAAAACTTTGCTTAACTCATTTCGGTCTCTCTTCTCTTAGAAGCCGGAAGTTGTAAAACGAAATATAAACGAAAATAAATATTGTGAATAGCCGAAGAGGAACTCACAATCTCGACAAGACTAAGACTCTTGCTCAGCACATCGGAAAGAGAATCTTCTAGAATAGCTAATCAAAAGCCGTGGAGCATATCCAACACGATAAAGATCACAGAACTGCTCCAACATTGACACAATCGCTTCCGATGGTGAGAATACCTCACCCCATCCTTCATTTGACGCTACCTGAAAGAAATTGACGAATGGCAAAAATCTGGCAAAGCAAGTGAATGAACAGGGGAACATAAATGTAGACACACTTGAACACTCCATGTATGGGTATCGGCCAGAATTATTACGTTATCGGGAAGCTGA